ATATATATATATATATATATGAAAAAGTATCATCTTTTTTATATTTTAAAAATTATGAAAAAAATTGTTTTAAAATTATATTATTTTAATAAAATATTATAAAAAAAACTTAAAAGATAAACAAATAAACAATAAGTTATGTATATAATATATATAGCATATTGTCGTTTCAAATTTTTTTAAGATATATTTAAAAACTTATTTTTTAATTAGCATTTTAAAAATCTAACGGTTTGATTAAAAATTTTATTTATATTTACCATGTATGTTAATTTTTAAATTGTTTCTATCCACTTCATTAATTATACAAAATTTAATACATTTAATATATGTTAATAAATAAAGTTTTTATGATAAAAGGGTTATAAGTGATAGATTAATATAAAAATTAAAATATATAACTTAAATAAATAAAATTTTTAATTCAACAATTAGATTTTGAAAATATTAAATATAAAGTGAGTTTTCAGATAAATTCTCCAAAACAATTTTTGAGAGAATGATCTGCGTAAACTATCCTTATATATATATATATATATATATAATACATATTAGTCCCAATTTTTAAAAAAAATTAGAGTCCAAACTTTAAAAGGTTAAATCCTCATTTTGGTCCTGAACTATTGTACGGACCCCCGATTTGGTCCCTGAACTAAAGAAATCCCTAATTTAGTCCTTAAATTATTGTACGAACCCCCGATTTGGTCCCCACTGTTTATAATTTGTCCTAAGTTGCTCCTTGAACTATTGTACGGACCCCCAATTTGGTCCTTACTGTTTACAATTTCGCCCCAATTTGATCCCTGAGCTATTATTTAACAGAATGACCAAGTTGGGGTTAAATTGGTAAACAGTAGGGACCAAATTGGGCATCCGTACAATAGTTTAGGGATTAACTTGAGAGTCCATACAATAGTTTAGGGACCAACTCATGGTCCGTACAATAGTTCAAGGACCAAATTAGGGATTTCTTTAGTTCAGGGACCAAATCGAGGGTCCGTACAATAGTTCAGGAACCAAAATAGGGGTTTAACCTTTAAAAAACATAGTTTTATTTAATTAAGATCTAATTCAAAATTTAAAAATTTACTATATTAAATATTAATACCTCAATTTAGAAATTAATTATATATTCTAATATAATAGGTTTCCAAATTCATGTATCAACATTTAATAAATTAGATTTCTAAACTTTGAATTGGATTTTAATTAAATGAAATGATGTCATTTAAGATTGGAGCTCAAATTTTTTTTAAGAGTTGAGACTATATGCATTACCCTATAGGAGGAGGAATTTATTTACACATAAATTTTATACACTGCACTTATATAAAATTTTAACTATTCATTTCTCCACCTTTAATAGTTGAGATTTATTATGAATTTTCAGATGAAAGAAATAGTTATTTATATATATAAAGTAAGGATCTACTTATACATAAGTTTTGTATAACAAATTTACATTAAATTTCAACTATTTATCTTTTCCACTTTCAATAGTTAAAATTTATTCACATTAATTAAAAATAATTATCTTTTTTTATCTAAAATGTCAAAATAAATATCAACTATTGAAAATAAAGAGATGAATAGTTGAGATTTTTTATAAATGAATCCCTCGTTATATATATATATCGAAAAAATGTGTATCAGTCTATATTACAAAAAAAAAAGTAAAAGAATTGCTCTAAAACAACTACATTTGAATAAAATCCCACTGAAAATGACTAAAATATCTAATTTTTAAAGAAGGAATGAGACTTTTTTAGTATGTTCTTGTGGTGTGTTACTAGAATGATATAGTTTTTGGGATTAATTTTTTACCTAAACTTTTATAACATAGGTTGATACCTACTAATCCCTCTATATATATTAATTAGTGTATATTAGTCGAATCTGCCAAAAATTAGACAAAAAACAATTTAAAACTATATCATTTTATTTAAGTATCATTAAAAAAAAACTAAAATAATATTATTTTCCTCTAAAAGGTCGGGTATTTTAATATTTTTTGTTGGATCAATATACTTCAAGAGGGGGGTGAATTGGAGTTGAAAAATTTTCACAAATTTTTTACCTCTTTGCAACCACCAGACAAAAATTAAAGAGAGAGTAGGGAAGAAGAGCTTGCACAATGATTTTATAGAGATTCAATCCAATCACTTAGAATCCAGTCCTCTATCTTGGCTTCACTCACCAAAGATTTCCTCCACACTCTTCACTAACAAAATCAAGGATGGTTTAAAGAAGCCACTCAATCCTTTTATACAAGAAAAAAGGTGTTTCCCTCAAATTTCACTCCTTTACAAGATAAACCCCAAGAATCCTCTCTACAAATCACTCTTGAAGGAATAATCACACCCTCAAGATAACACACAAGTAGAACAAGAAGAGGATTACAAGTAAAGATCTTTCAAAGATCAAAATCTCAAGTTAAAGCACAAGTTGGTAGGTAAAGATATTCAATACAATGCTCTTCAAACTCATTCTAGTTCTGCTACCAACCATATTTATAGCCCCATGGTCGAAAATAGCCGTTACTAGCCGTTAGGGTCATTAAATGCTCTACAAGTCGCATAATTTCGAGTTGCAGATTTGTCAGTACAGCCAGCTTAATTAAAGTATAGAGCCAACTCTATATAGATAGCTTAGAATCCTACAGCAGGCTTTGTCGATTCCTGCACATTCTGTTTTCTTTGTAGAGCCAGCTTAGATTCTTAGAGCTAGCTTTGTAGGTTTCTTGCATATTTTGTTTTTTTGCACAGCCGGCTGCAAAATATAAAGCGACTTTGGGATCTCAACTTTAAAAACATTAAATAATCTTTATATAAATCAATCATTGTGCATTAAATATGCCATCACAGCCAACTGCAAAGTTAAAGCTAGCTTTGCGTCTGTTTTCCGCGCATGCCAAACAATAGACTTGAAACTTGTAGAGCTGGCTGCAGATCTTGGAGTCGGCTCTCTGCACGTTTACCTTTTAGAGCCGGTTGCAGATTTCTTTAAGCCAGCTCTTTGCACATTGTCCAGCCTCTTTGGTTCTTTTTTAGTGCAATCTTAATTTACTTAATTTACAATCTTTTAGCAATTAAACTATACAGTTAAATGAATTAATTAATCACTCAAATGTGTTTTGTAATAATCAAAATCATGGGTACAACAATCTCTCTCTTTTCGATGATGACAAAACACTTTGAGAATGAATTAATGATAGCATATATATACTTCAATATTTACTCAAAATTTCAACGTCCAAATAGTCCAGAAAATGATAGCAAATTCAACATACTTTCTCCCCCTTGGTGTCATCCATAAAAAAATACATAAACATAATCAATAAACTCCCCCTTAATTCATGCATATCAACCTTTAAATCATCAAAAATATGTAATTTAAGCACACTATCCACAAATTGCTCCCCTTCAATAAGAGCCGATCATCAAAATCATAGACAACCATCAATAATGATAAAATGCACAAATCATGCCATTACAATTCACAATTCATGATAATAAGCTAAGAAATGTGCATAGATAATGAGGGCAAATTTTGGGAGAGAATCAAATCTTGAATGTGAGGAGAGGAAAAGGGCCAAGTATTAAAAATCTATCACAATCAAAAGGCTTTGTGGTAAACAAGATATCTCACTCCAAGCAACTATGAAAGTCAAAAGATTCTTTCTCTCCTTTTTGTTATCCAACAAAAAAGTTTGAAGATCATATGAAGAGCAAACAATAGAGCTCCACCTTAATAAAATAACTCTTGAAAGCATGAACATACTTATATAACAATCTCATTAAAATCATACCAAGAATGTATAATCATCTATGATTTAAGTCATAAAGATTAATAAAAGATAAATGAAATAGCACAAATGTAATATGCACTCAAGATAAAGCAATATATATCTCCATCATACTCATAGAGTTTGAAATTGATAGGCTTACCTCCATTATTGTTAGAGCAATTGAATGCATCAATGGAGATACCATTGCTTGTGCATCTCCTTTGTATGTTCCCTTTGATTGGTAAAGATCTCATCTTTAGGATAATTTCATTTGAAGCTCCAATACATTTAATTGTCTCAAGTTTACTTAATATTACTTAGAAAATTCTTTGCAACAAAACTCATTAGTAGCACCAAAAACAATGTTAATGCCATCATTAAGTACAACATGTATATTTCTTACCCTTGAGATGTATTACCATTTATCACATTACCTTTATAAGTTCCCTCTTTTGGGTAGAATTATAACCTTTGTTTTTGTGCTTGTTGCATCTCCTCAATCTTGTTCTTCTCACTTGCTTCACATGGATGTTGTGTGATTCTATTGCCTTCAATGTTCATTCTTATCCTTGTTACCCAATAACATGTACATCACAATTTCACAACTCTTTCTAGAGCAAATGGGGTTAGTTTCATTGAATACCACACATTACTCCTCTTTATATGCAACATATCATATGATAATAAATATCAAAAATCCTACTCATTAAAATCAACCATGACTATGCAAGCATTCAAGTGCATGACATACACTTGCACATAATCAAATATCATCAAAATCCTCCATGACAAAGTGAACATACAAATTTCCTAATATACTTAACTTCCAAGTGTAAGACTCTTCCTAAGGTCATGCTTAATTTCCAAGTGCTATCATCAAAATTATGAAAATAATGAGACAAACCATGTAAAGTAAGACAAGGTATTAAAATTACTCATTTAAATCAAATCATCAACCATCTTCAAAAAACCACATATGACATTGAAAATCACTTATACCATCAAGAGCTCATTATGAACTATATATGATAAATAATTAATCTAATCATTCACATATGTTAAGTATGTAAATATGATACAAGTAATATCTATAACAATCAACAAGGTTGTATCAACACTAGAAAAGACACATCAAATGGAATCATACTCAACAAGCATATGTATCAAGGAGTGAGCACACATAAACAAATAATTAATAGTTGTGTTAGTGTAATTATACTCAATGAATAAATGCAAGAAGATAAATAATACCAATATGAGCACATGAGTGGAGCATTCAAAAACAAATTTTTATTGCATTTTCACTCCAACATTCTTGTTGAGGCATAATTCTTTATCAAGATCAATTTTGCTTTTCTTATGATTTTGCTATCAACTTTACCTACAAAACCAAATTAAGTTTTGATTTTTGATACCCAAATTTGCTTAGCTCCTTGGAAGTTAGTGCTTAAAGTTCCTTTTGGAACCCAAATTTGCCTCACTTTACCTTGAGCTATTAATCTCTTCAAAGGACATACATAAGCAAAGTGTCCCTTTGCATCACAACAATAGCAAATAACTTTAGGATTATAAAATTAACTTGCCCTCATAAAGAAGTTCTAAAAACTCTTTTGCTTTTTAGAATAATCAAATCCAATACCTCATTTGTCATAAACACTTCTTTGAGATTTTAAGATAAAATCAAATTTTTCTTTACTCAAAGTGAATTTGTAAATTACATTATCAAGATCACAAACTATCTTTTTCAAATTCTCATTTTCCTCTTTCAAAGCATTAGTAGATTCTTCATCCTTCAATGATGCAATCTCAACATTTCAGAAGGCATTTCTTTTCACTAAAACCTCATTTTGTTTTGAAAGAGATTCAATCTCATTTTTAAGCAATGTAATGGTTTTAGTAAGAGCAAGATTCTCATTCCTTAGTTTCTTGATATCATTCATAGAACAATCAAGAACTTTACATAAATTATCATAAGAATACTCAAAGGAACTTTTATTAATTAAACTAGAGAAGTTAGATTTTACCTCCTCATGATTGTAGTTATCCTCTTGAGCCATGAAGCAAAGATTTGTAACACCATTCTCCAAGGAACTTTCACTTTCTGTTGAGTTAGTCTCATCATTGCTCCAAGTAGCGATAAAAGCTTTCTTTTTCATGCTCTTCTTGTTTTTCCTTTCACCTTTCTTCAATTGAAGGCATTCATTTCTATAATGCCCCATCTTGTTGCACTCATAGCATTTGATATGCTTTTTGCTTGGCTTTCCTCCATCATCATCATCACTACATATTCTTCCTCTAGAATAGTGAATTTCTTGTTTCTTCTAGAAGATGTCCCTTTGAGGCTTTTCTTCATGTGTTTGTTCACTTAATTTGAAACTAATTTGGTGATGTCCTCCTCATTGCTAGACTCATCATTAGTAGCATCATCTTCACTCTCCTCTTTTTGGTTGCTAGCCCTGAATGCAACATTCTTCTTCTTCTCAACTACTTCAACTCCGCCATCAACTTGAATATCCATCTCCTATGTCATCAATTTTCCAATGAGATCATTAAGCTTGAGGGTGTTGAGATCCTTAGACTCTTCAATTACGGTCTTCTTGGCTTTCCAATTCTTAGGCAAGCTTCTAAGAACCTTCCTCACCACTTCTTGAGATTTGTGACTACATCATTTAATCTTGTATACATATCTTAAATGCTCTACTCTGGTTTCATCTTGAAAAGCTCATACATGTGGATGAGTCTATTGATTTTTGACTCATTCACTTGGCTTGTTCCTTCACGTGTTACTTTTAACTTGGTCCCACATCTCCTTAGCCGTATCACACCTGAAAACTCTATGGAATTCCGTTGGATTGAGAGCACGTTGAAGCATGTCGATTGCTTTGTTGTTGATCATGATCTTCCCCAAGTCTTCATCATTCCATTCAACTTCTCCTTCCTGTGGCACCTCATTTTCTCCAACAACTTCCATGGGCACATATGGACCTTTCATAGTCACAATCCATGCCCTAGGTTCATTGCAAGCATGTAGACCTTCATCCTATTCTTCCAATAATTACAATTAGTACCATCAAAGAAAGGAGGTTTAGTGGTAGACAAACCTTCAAGTGGTTGAGAAGTTTGAAATTGATCCATCCCTAATCAACTCTTAGGTGGTTAAACCTTCAAATTGGAACCTTTGCTTTGATACCAATTGTTGGTTCAATGACCTCCAAGAGGGGGCTGAATTGGAGTTGAAAAATTTTCACCTCTTTGCAACCACCCAACAAAAATCAAAGAAAGAGTAGGGAAAAAGAGCTTGCACAATGATTTTATAGAGGTTCGGTCCAACCACTTGGAACCTAGTCCTCTACCTTGGCTTCACTCACCAAGGATTTCCTCCACACTCTCCACTAATAAAATCAAGGGTGGCTTAAAAAAGCCACTCAATCCTTTTATATAAGAAGAAAGGTGTTTCTCTCAAATCTCACCCCTTTACAAGATAAACTCCAAGAATCCTCTCTACAAAGCACTCTTGAAAGAATAATTACACCCCCAACATAACACACAAGTAGAACAAGAAGAGGATTACAAGTAAAGATCTTTCAAAGATCAAAATCTCAAGTTACAGCACAAGTTGGTAAGTAAAGATATTCAATACAATGCTCTTCAAACTCATTTCAGTTCTGCTACCAACCATATTTATAGCCCCATGGTTGAAAATAGTCGTTACTAGCCGTTGGGGTCATTAAATGCTCTACAGGTCGCATAATTTCGAGTTGCAAATTTGTTAGTACAACCAGCTTAAAGTATAAAGCTAGCTCTGTACAGCCGGCTTAGAATCCTACAGTTGGCTTCGCGATTTCCCTACACATTATATTTTCTCCATAGAGTCAGCTTAGATTCTTAAAGCCAGCTTTGCGGGTTTCTTGCACAACCGGCTGCAAAATATAAAGCCGGCTTTGGGATCCCAACTTTAAAAACATTAAATAACCTTTAAATAAGTTGATCATTGTGCATTAAATGCGCCATCAAAGTTGGCTACAAAGTTAAAGTCGACTTTGTATCTATTTTCTGAGCACACCAAACAACGGAGTTAAAATTTTCACTCATAGAGTTGGCTATGGATCTTGGAGCTGGCTCTCTGCACTTTTACCTTCCAGAGCTGGTTGCAGATTTCTTTAAGCTGGCTCTCTACATATTGTCCAGCCTCTTTGGTTCTTTTTAGTGCAATCTTAGTTTACTTACTTTGTAATTTTTTTAACAATTTAACTACACACTTAAATGAATTAATTAGTTACTCAAATGTATTTTGTAATCGTTAAAATCATGAGTACAACATTTTTAATAGAAATTTATTAAAAAGATATAGTTTTAATATTTTTTTTACTTAATTTTTTATAGGTCAAACTGATAATTTTTGTTAATATATAATAAATATCATGAGTTAATTACTTAACATTGTAACTTCTTTTAAAGTTTTTTTGATTAATAAAAATACCAATTCAGCCAAATTCTAAATGGTTCCAAATTTAATAAAAATGAATAAATTTAAATGTTGTTTGCCGGTAAGATCGTAATACAATTCAATTGCTTTGTTTTGTTTTTTGAAAAATGAAATCCAAAATTAACCATACGAGGTAGTAAAAAGCATCACCATCCATTGGAAATAATATACCTAAGTGACTTGCCTAGGTGCCACACGGCTTTGCCTACTTTGGCTAGAAAAAGGCAAGACAAGACGTAACGCCTGCAATACCAGGTGTTCAAGTGCCTTACTCTCAGTGTCTTGATCCAGAAACAAATGTTGTCTTGCCACTACAGAACAACAAGTGCCTTGCATCCCAAGTACCCATTACAGAACAACAAAGGATAGCGCACCCAATCTATTTAAAGGGAAATGCCATTCCTTTAGCTTTATCCTTTTCTCCTTAATTTCCTCTCCTTTCCATATCCTTCTAGAATTGGAACTAATTTAAAAGGTCTGGAATGAGTATGTCAGGGAAACCTCCTGCAAACCTTATTTTCTCGCGGGTTAAAGCCAATTGTCCTCCCTATACTTTCAAATTTTGTTCATAACCGTCCCTCTACTATAGATTTGTTCATTGTCATCTCTCTACTCCCAAATCACACCAAATGTCGTCCCACCAGATGTCGTCCCTCCACTTCCTTTATTTTGTTCATTGTCGTACTTTTCTTGACGCTGTTTCTACATCCGTTGATTAGACTGTTGATTCATCACTATCAGTAGTTAAAGTTATTTTTTATTATATTTTTGGCATGTGTGCTGTAGACTTGGGGTTTGGTTGGGCTCATTGGTTTTATATTTTGGTTTTAAATCAAATCTCTCTTTGCCATTGTTTATTACTTTAACCTTTTTCTTTTTCTTTTTTTTATCAAAACTCCACCACCTTCGTTGTCAATCTGCATCCATAAAAAAATTCATGAAAAAAAAATCTTTTTTCTTTTTATTTATTAATTAAAATCAAACAAAAAAAACTATAAATTAGGAAAATGAAAATATGCTAAAAAGGTGAAGAATTGTAACTCGATTATCTGTGAATGGAAATATAAAAAATGCCTTTTTAATCTATCTAAGGATGCAAATTAATAACACTTCTTTATCATAAGTATATTTTTTTTTCATTTATTTTTAGTAAACTTAATTTTACTTGTTAATTTTTGGAATATGAATTTTAAATGAAAATTTAACAATTTATATAAATAACAATTAAAAATTTTTTCTTCCTACATGAAATTTTTATTGGGTACTTCTATTTGATAAAAAAAATTTAATTATAATTTATATAATATGTTAAATTTTTATTTGAAATTTATGTTTAAAAAGTCAAAAGCTTAAATTAGGTTCAGTCAAAATAAACAAAAAGAGTAAAAATTTAAAAATTTAAAAATTGACATTAGTGTTATTGCCATGCGTATGAATTCAATGGGATAATTAATAAATTAAATGCCAAATTTTATACTTTTAATATAAATTAATAACAAAAATGCATATTTATACATTCTTAACATGTCCTTATATTAGGATTATTATATACTGTTGACTCAATATACTCCAAGAGGGGGGTGAATTTGAGTTCCAAAAATGCTTTTATTTTTGTAACAACAAAACCAAAAATAAAGAAAGTAGAGAAGAAGAGCTTGCTCAATGATTATATAGAGATTCGATCCAACCACTTGGAGCCTATTCCTCTACCTTAGCTTCACTCACCAAGGATTTCCTTCACACTCTCCACTAACAACAACAAGGGTGGCTTAAAGAAGCCAATCAATCCTTTTATAGAAAGATAAGTATTTCTTTCAAACCTCACCCCTTTACATATAAACCCAAAAATCCTCTATATAGATCACTCTTAAAGGATTTATCACACCCCCAAGATTGCTCACAAATAGAATAAAAAGAAGATTACAAGTAAAGATCTCTCAAAAATCAAAAACTTAAGTTGAAGCTTATGTAGGTAGGTAAAGATATTCAATGCAATGCTCTCTAAACCTTCTTCAGATCTTCTACCAACTATATTTATAATTCCATGGTCGAAAATAGCCGTTACTAGCCGTTACTAGCCGTTGGGGATCATTTAATGCTTTGCAGGTCGCTTAATTCGAGTTGTAGAATTGTCGTACAACCGGCTTACACTTCTAGAGCCAGCTCTACACAGCCAGCTTAACTTCTTTGTAGCCGGCTCTGCAGGTTTCCTGCATTCTGTTTTCTCCATAGAGCCAGTTTAAAAATGCTGCAGTCGGCTTTGTAAGTTTTCTACACATTTTGTTTTATTTCACAACCGGCTGCAAATCATAAAGCCGGCTTTGGGATTATAACTTTAAACACATTAAATAATCTTTAAATAACTCGATTGTTTTACATTAAATGCATCATCACAGCAGGCTGCAAAGTTGGAGCCGGCTTTCTGTCTTTTCTCCGCGCGTGCCAAACAACTGACAGTTAAGTTTTTACCCATAGAGCCGGTTGCAGCTTCCAGAGCCGGCTTTCTGCATTTTTACAGCCGACTGCAAGTTTCAACAGTCGGCTCTCTGCACATTTTCAAGCCTTTTGGTCCATTTTTAGTGCAGTCCAAGTTTACGCTCTTTGCAATCTTTTGACATCTTAACTACACACTTAAATGAACCAATTCGTCACTCAAATGTGTTTTATAATCATCAAAATCATAGGTACAACATATACATTATAATTAAAATTTTTTTAATTAAATAAAAATATTCAATAAAAATCTCATGTAAGAAGAAAAAAAAATTTCAGTTATTATTTATATAAATTGTTAAATTTTCATTTGAAATCATATTCAAAATGTTAAAAAAATAAAATAAAATTTACTAAAAATAAACGAAAAAAATATATATTTATGATAAGGAAGTGTTATTAATTTGCATCATTGGATTAAAAAGGCATTTTTTATATTTCCATGCACAGATAATGAAGATACAATTCTTCACCTTTTTAGCATTTTTTCATGTTCCTAATTTATAGTTTTTTTTGTTTGTTTTTAATTAATATATGAAAAGAAAAAAATATTTTTTTATTTCATGAATTTTTGTATGGATGCAGATTGGCACTGAAGGTGGTGGACGTTTTGAAAAAAAAAAAAAATTTAAGTACCATTTTGGTCCCTTAACTTTTCACTTTGATACCAAATTTGTTCCTCACATTTAAAAAGTATTAAAATTATCCTCAAACTTTTATTTTCGGTACTAAAATGATGCTTCCGTCAGTTAAATGACAGGTGTCACGTTAACTTACCAGTAAATCAATTCTTTCTTTTTCTTAACTAATGACATGGCACTCTTTTTATGAGTTGGCATTTTATTTAATTTAAAAATAATAATATGTTTTTTTTCCATTCCCGTTATCTCTTCTACCTCTTTCACTTTCTCTCTCCTTTACCTTTCCTTTTCCCTTACCTCTGCAAACCCAGATCTGGGTTCTCTCAAACTTCATCTTCTTCCTCCTTTCCTCCTTCCTTTCCTTGCTCATCCTTCTTCTTTCTTCTTCTTATTCTTTCTCTCTCTCTCTATCTCTCTTCTTCCTTCTTCTTCCTTTCTCAAACCCAGATTTGGGTTTTAGAAAAAGGGAGCAATTTCATCGCCACTGAAACACCACTTTAATGGTTTCTCATTGCGTCATTTGACTTTCCTGCTCTTTTCCGATTCCAATTGTCGCAGTTCTCTTTTTCCTTTCTCCGCAATTGCTCTAACAAACTTCTCCGACTTGCTCCTCTGGTAAGATTTCAGTTTATCCATGTCCAAATCCGAATCAGAATCAAGATCTGATGCCAAATTGCGCTGCGTTTCCAAATCAATCGCATTCACTTGAGAGATGATCTCCTTGTCCTGATAAACAGTCTCTTCTATCGAGAGTTCCGTAGCATCTTCCGAAGATATCGGTTGTCGATTTTCAGTGTTTTTGATGACTTCCTCGTAGAGTTCATCCTCGGCATTGTAGGCTTCAAGATTCTTGGTGGACAATCTGTCGGACTTGGCGAGGAGAGTAGCGATGATGGCGTTGCAGAAGAGGAAGACGAACAGATGACTAGTGATGACACTGCCAAGTTTGGCAAAAAACTCACCGTAGATCCTGATGACGAAAGGAACGCGAGCGGAGATCAACACCAGGGTAGGAATTAGTTCAATTGACCGAAAAAATTTAGCTATGCTCAGGATTTGGTCATACGTGCTCATGGCTCTCACCTTCTGCACTCTCACGGTGTCAAAATCAAAAGGAATTCATAGCACAAAGATCAAAGGAACTTTATTGCTTTTAAATCTAAAGATGAAGAGCTGTATGGGGGTAGAAAATTCAAAGGAAATTTTTGAAGAAGGGGGAAAAGGAGGTTTCTGCCTTTCATCTTCTTTCTCTCTCAAACCCAAATCTGGGTTTTATCTTAGACTTCCCCCTTTAATGCTTTCCTGTTTCTTTACCATCAATCCAAACACCCCCTTTAACAATATAACCCCACTTTCTTTTCCTCTTTCTTTTCTCTATCATCATTTCATCCTTCTCTGTTTAGATAGATAGAAAAGAAATGAAACAAGGATAGCAATAACAATATTTGTTCCAATCGTTTTCTTTTCAACAGAAAAAAAATACCTGATCTTTTCTTCTCTACCCTTCACCCATTTATCTCTGAATTTTTTTAGTTTCTTTAGTTGCTTCTTGTTGTTGTTGTTGTATTAAAGAATCCAAGAAATCTGGGTTTCTTTGATACCCATCTCACCAAACATGATTCGTCAGACTTTGATGAGATCGGCGCTGGTGAACGGGCGGACACATCCGCTTCTATTCGCGAACGACAGTACTAAGTCATAGATATCATTGTTGAGAGCAACAAAAGGGAGGAGGTTTGTACAGGTGGTGGGTGCGGGGATGGCAGAGTGCGCGGTGGTTTGCTACTATTGTTCGTGCTCGGTGATGGAGCTACTGGTGCTGGGGTTCTACAAGGTACCCACAGGGCTGTGCAAGAAGGCGTGGAAGAAGAGGAAACGTCGACAAATCCTGAAGATGAAGAAGTAGGGGGTGAAGGGGGGAGGAAATAGGAAGGACCTGGATGTGAAGGCGGATCAGGTGGCGGCGAAGAGCCAGGTTGGCATTTCAAAGGTGGTGGCAGGGGGTGATAGGGGGAGGAAACCTAGATCTGGGTTTGAGAGAGAACCCAGATCTGAGTTTGCAGAGGTAAGGGAAAAGGAAAGGTAAGGCAGAGAGAGTGAAAGAGGAATACGTGATGATGTGGCTGAAAAAAAATATCATTATTTTTAAATAAATAAAAAATGCCAACTCATGAAAAAATTGGCCTAACTATGTTTTTTTTTTTTTTTTATGTCATTGATTAAAAAAAAAGAATTGATTTGCTGGCATTTTAATGTGTCATCTGTCATTTAACTTATGGAATGACCGTTTTAGTACCGAAAATGAAAGTTTAAAAATAATTTTGATATTTTTTTTTAAGATGAGGGATAATTTTGGTGCCAAAGTGAAAAGTTGAGGGACCAAAATGGTACTTAAACCAAAAAATAAAAAGGTTAAAGTAATAAAAACAATGGCAAAGAGAGATTTGATTTAAAACCAAAATATAAACCCAATGGCCCCAACCAAACCCCAAGTCTACAACACATATGCCAAAAAATTAATAAAAAATAACTTTAACTACTGACCATAATGAATTAACAGTCCAATCAACGGATGTAGAAACGGCGTCAGCTAAAGGACGACAATGAACAAATCTGTAGTAGAGGGACGGTTATGAACAAAATTTGAAAGTAAAGGAATGATAATTGGCTTTAACCCTTTTCTCGCCAACTAATTTCGACGAGCTCAAATCTCCACTCATTAATAACAAAATAGGAAGAGGAGAGATATTCTTTAAGAAAAAACGAAAAAAGATATATAGAGAAACCGTTGGCGTCGGCAATGCCATTGCCCATTCCAGGTGCTAATCCAATAAATATCACGTGCCTTGACTTTCGGAATTGAAGTCAGAAAAAATGGAGTTCATCCTACTCATGCCACGTAGGTTTGACCGCCGCCTTGGGCACTTGTTAATAATTTTCGAGGTCTCCGGATAAACTCAAACTCATCTTATCGTAACTTGGGGTTGGACATACCTGTTTCTGTAAATTTTGAAAAATGATAGCCTTCTTAAACATTTTTTCATTTAGGGCCTTTTTGATATACCAATTAAATTAAAATTTGACTGATAATAAGCAATAAGTAATCGTTAGTAGCACTTGGCCCGCATGGTCCAGTGACTAGAGTCACTGAAAATTGCATATCCCCCTCCCCTAAACGAGTTCGACAAAACTATTCAAAAAAAAAAAAGTAACCGTTAGTAAATAATAAATAGTAATAATGGGTAATAAATAATAATTAATAGATAACTAGTAACAGATATAGCAGATAGCAAAAAGTGAATAATAGATAGCAAATAATAGATAGCGAATAACAGATTCAATTAATATAACTATTTGATTTTATAATAGTTAATAATTATTATTTAATATTAAATGATTAATAAAAACATATTTAAAAACAATTAAATGTATTTTTAAATTTTTTTTATTATTAAAATTATCAATTTTATAAAAATAATAAGAAGAAAATAAATAAATTAAATAAATTATCATAATGTAATCATACAATAATTCTTATTTTTAACAAGGGAAAAATTATATTATTTTGATAAAGTACAAACAAATTTTATTTTTTTGTCCAATTAACAAATTTTGTTTATTAATTTAATATATTTTTTATGTTAAACTAATGTAAAAATAAAAATATAATAATCATTTAATGTTATTAAAGACAAAATATAAAATTAAAAATAATTAAATAATACTAATTAAAAATTGTGATTGAAAATTAAAAATTAAAATGAATAAATTTATCAATAAAATTAAAAAATTTTAATATACTATCAATTTAATACAAAAAGTTAGTTTAAATAGTTTTTTCAATCTATTAGTGATTTAGGCTCTAACCACCATCTACTAATCCAAAATTGTTAAATAAAAAATTTTACCAAACATTTACTTTTGTAACAATTTCAAAATAAATAAATTTATTAAACACATATTATTAATTGTTTAGATAAAACCTTTAATTGCCCAAACTGTTATGCCAAATTAACCTTTAGTTTTATTATATAATTTACTAATTAATTCTTTTTTTTTTAATTTATAATATCATAAGCATATAGCAGTTATATAAAAAGAAGATTTTTTAATTTATATTTTAAAATCATTTCCCTAATAAATATATATTTGTTATAAATTTATAATAAAAAAATAAAAAATAATTTTAATTGTTTAATTATTTAATTAAATTTATTTGACACTAATATTAAAATTAATCTTAATTTTTATAACTTTTTATATATATTTATAATAAAAAATACTATCAACACATATTAGAAAGGCCATCAGAATTTATCCCCATATGAGCCATACTGTTACCCATTTCTAGACCCTTTAGGTGGCACATGATTGACTGCCGTGTTGCTGAGATGGCATTCCTTCTTCGATGAGCTGGTAGTACCTTATAACATTTTTCTACAAATTATAAACACAAACACGGTTGATTAATTAATCCGACTCCTATCTAGCAAGATACCACGCGCCCGCGGCCCATCAAAATCGGTAACGTTTTCTTCCAACATAGGACACGACTATACCTGTAAATAGCGGTTCCTTCTGTACAACTTGTTTGCAGAGGAAGAAAATGACAATCACAACCACAACTTGCGTCCAAAATGGCTGCCTCATGGTGAGAGGAAAGGTGGTCCTGACTGGGGTTCCAAACAACGTAGTTGTCTCTCCCGGAAGCTCAGCCTCGGCCTTCTTAGGTGCAACTTCAACACTAGCCAGTTCTCGCCATGTTTTCACTCTTGGGGTTCTTGAGTAAGTCTATAACTTTCTGGAAAACAAACTTTATTCTCATGCATCTCTCCTTTTTTCATCCTAGTTTGTTTTTCAGGAGTGTTGTAGAGAAATTAGATGAAAAGTGAAGGGCCTTACTCAGAAAATTTGCGAATGAGACTCTAATTTTCTTCTTGAATAATAGTTGTTTTTAAGCCGTTAATCATAGGTTGCAACGTCTCAAAATTTCCAAATTGAATGGCCAAAATTTCAATTCTAAATGCAACATTGTTTTGTTGTTTCTTTTCTTTTATATGAAAACTATGTGACATGATTTGCTGCGTTAAGTATTTAATCCATCAATTTTTCTCCTTCAAATTGAAGAATTTATCTCTGGTATTGTCTAGAATCACGCCTTTGCATCTTTTCCTCCCTGAGTTCTACTTCTTATAAGTTTCATTTCACATTGGTAATTTCAGGGGATTCAGGCTTTTGTGTCTGTTCAGAGCAAAAATATGGTGGATGATACCACATTATGGGAAATCCGGTGGCGAAATTCCCATGGAGACTCAAATGCTTCTTTTAGAAGCAAGAGAAGAGTCCATTGTGGATGATGACATTTCTTCTGATCCATCATCATCTGAAAACACATTCTACATTCTCTTCTTGCCTGTGTTAGACGGGGAATTTCGAACATCATTGCAGGGGACTCCTGCAAATGAGCTTCAATTTTGTGTCGAAAGCGGTTAGTTGATCAACTCCATACCATCGCATTTTGTCTGGTCTAGTTTTCAGTTATGATTCTCGAGATATGATGCTTAGTTTTGATTTATTTTATTTATTTATTTTTTTTTTTTGACTATTCAGGTGATGCCAATGTCCAAACCTTACAAACATTGGAGCCAGTGTTCATAAATTCAGGAGACAATCCATTTGAGCTAATAAAAGAATCCATTAAGTAAGTGTGCTTATTAAAAACCAAAAGTAGTTTCTCTCTTCTGCAGTTTTTATTCTCTTATTAATAAAGCCACAATTTGAATTCTTACCTTATTTATGTTTGTCTAGGATATTGGCAGAGCACAAGGGGACGTTTAGTCATATTGAAAGTAAAAAGGTAAGCAACTCAAATTCTTGAACCATATATGTTTATAGGCCGGGAAAAAATAAAAAAACTATACATGTTTCCCACGTTGACAAACTTTTGATTGAGGAAAATAACTGCATGATATGCTTTCGATTGATAGATTTTCATATGATTAATGGACAGATCCCTGCACATTTGGAGGGTTTGGGTGGTGTACTTGGGATGCTTTTTACACTGAAGTTAATCCAGAAGGCATCAAAGAGGGTCTTCAAAGGTATAAGAAGTGAAAAATAGTTTTTATATATTAATGTGTTGGGAAGGTTCACTGAGTTTATAATAATTAGAAAGAGAAAAGGCATTTATAATCTTCTTCTTCTTTTTTTTTTTTTTTTCGTTTTGGGGCAGTTTCTCTGATGGAGGTTGTGCACCAAAGTTTTTAATTATAGATGATGGATGGCAAGACACAGTGAATGAATTCAGTAAAGAAGGCGAACCTCTTACTGATGGAAAAGGGTAAGTGTTTTCTTCAATGTACACATGCTTTCTAATTTATGGTAGTAGTTTCCCCAATGATCATTGCTGCTTCCTTCCTCCAACAGGTTTGCAACCAGATGATCGGTGGATATCAAAGAAAACAGCAAGTTCAAGGGCTGGAAATCCAGTAGTGAATATGCTAACCTTCGTGATTTCATTGGCATGATCAAAGAGAAATATGACGTAAAGTAAGCTTGCAAATCTGAGAGTGACTTTTTCTTCAGAGAAATATAATTTGTTGCTGTAGTGCTTAACCCTTGAAACTGATTAATTAATGCAGATATGCCTATGTGTGGCATGCGTTAGCACTTACTGGGGAGGAGTCCTTCCTTCATCTGAAACAATGAAAAAGTACAATCCAGAGATTGCATATCCTATCCAGTCACCAGGTAATGTAGGAAATCTTAGAGATATTGCCATGGACAGCTTGGAGAAGTATGGAGTTGGGATAATTGACCCCCGGAAAATATATGATTTCTACAATGATCTCCATAGCTACCTTGCAAGCTGTAACATTGATGGTGTCAAGGTTGATGTCCAAAATGTGATAGAAACCTTAGGTTCTGGGTATGGGGGACGGGTTTCACTGACTAGGCAGTGTCAGCGAGCTCTTGAACAATCAATTGCAAGGAATTTCAAGGACAATAATTTAATCTGCTGTATGAGTCACAACTCAGACTCAATTTACAGGTAAGTCTCTTGTCTTTCTCCTTTATACTTAGCAAGCAGGGAATTCAGATTTTAATCCCATCATTGTTTAATTTCAGTTCAAAGAAGAGTGCTGTTGCAAGAGCATCTGAGGATTTCATGCCAAGAGAACCAACATTTCAGACCTTACATGTTGCTTCTGTCGCTTTTAATAGTCTACTTATTGGGGAGGTTATGGTGCCAGACTGGGACATGTTCCATGTAAGATGTCTTTCGTATCTATTGACACTAATTACAGACTCAAGTAGGGTATAAGAGTGTTGTAATCTGTTTACTTCCAAAATTTAAGCCTTTCATAAAGGTTTATCTGTTGTTTAACAGAAAATATAGGTACAGTTCCTATAGCTTTAGAATAGAACTCGTATGAGTATCCTGCGTTTAGTTCATTTGGTATTTGTAGAGGCTATGGCTACAGGTTGCCGGGTCTAGTTAAATAAAATTATTTTTGATCCATTTCATAGTAAGCACGAGACTGCTGAGTTCCATGGTGCAGCAAGAGCAATAGGCGGGTGTGCAGTATACGTCAGGTTTGCCATGACGGTTAATTATTTGATATACTTCCATCTCACATGGAAATCTATTTCATACCTGTTCTTATTCTAATGGAAATCTATTTTTCCGTTTTCATATTTTAATGTCATCACAGTGACAAGCCTGGCAATCATGACTTCAAAATCCTTAGAAGGCTTGTGTTGCCTGATGGGTCTATACTGAGAGCTAGGCATGGTGGTCGTCCTACTCGAGATTGCTTATTCAATGACCCTGTCATGGATAAAAAGTAGATGTCATTTAAAAGAATAATATGAAACTGAAGGTGTTTACAGGCAAACTTTCGTTTCAATTTCTTGACTGGTTTACTCTTTTTTTCAGTCTGCTCAAGATATGGAACCCAAGGTTGTTAAAATCGCGATCTAAATCCTAAGATCGCACGATTTTACGATGTTAGAGGGCTTCAACGATCTGGATCGGACAAAAATCGTGGGTCTCGAAGAAGCGATCGAAGATCGCGTACATAATCGTGAGATCGTGAGATCGTGCGATCTTGAACGATTTTAGAAACTAAATTCTTCTGAGATTATG